AGCCTCCATTCGTTTCTGGGCCTTGAGTGTTTCTAGGATCAAGCTTCTTAATCCTGTCATCTTCTCTCTATGCTCGGCTCGCTTGACTTCGGTGCTGCCTATTCTCTTCTGAGGGACTCAATCTAGGCTCTCAGTTGTGCTGTCTTGTTCTGTAGCTTAGTCGTGTCTGCTGCAACGACGGGAGGCTTGGCTGTTCTGGGCACCTTGTACCATTATTTAGCTTCTGGATGAGGTGCGATCCTGGGGACGGAAGTAGTTATTGCTTTCTTGATCCCCGTGAGGTATGGGCATCCCAGGTACCTAGCGCTGCGTGCACCTGAGCCATTGAAGCACTTTCTATTGGCTTCTTGAAGTCTAGATTCACTTTTGCCGGGGGCACTCCTTATAGTCGTGTAGGCTAGAGCAGTAGCAGCAGGAAGGGCAGTGTGCCACGCTCTATTATAGAGTGAGCATTGTAGTATTTCTGGGGTGTAGGTGGCAGGCTGCTGCTGCTACTTGTATAGGCGGGTACTGGTAGCTCTCTGCTTCTCGACAGGGTGTGTCCGACACTATATCCTAATATAACCTATACATTTGATGGACAAAATACGACCTGTATTTGCGCCTGTATCACTACTGGTAATGTTGTTGATGCTTGACTGCGATTCCACTGCTGACTGTAGTGTGTCACATTGTGTGGTCCTAAACTCTCCAATGATAGCCAGCCGTTCTCTATTGTATCACAAACATGCTTCCTGTGTGGCTTACAGTCTACTGGGTTTTTCTTTAAAAAATGTGTTTGCCTTGTTCACCATCAGACTTTGTCTACTAGGCATGGACAAATCCCTGTTTAGTAGATTTGTCATAGTTTGCCAGCCTGCACGATTGTGTGTGCGCACAAAGATAATATAAAACAACGAATGTAGCAGTAAGATAGACAAGACCACAGTTACGTAACACGCACTAGACTACTGCCATATTATGAACAAACCCAGCGATGCGACCTGTATGTATTTCATTGAGACAGAGTCGGCAGTCCGAAACCCAAGTTCAAGGTGTCTCCTTCGTGCCAAAGAAGTGCATGGCTATTGGATGAACAGTCGTTGACGAAGGCAGTCAGGTCGTTGTTGGGGAGACGCTTTCTGGTGTATGTAATGTCCTAAGTCCCTTCCCCAGCTAATAGTGAGGGTACTGCTGGGGTGACCGTTTATTAACCCTCATAAAATGCTTCAGGTCAAAATATACTCTAGGCACGGCCACCTTTTTTAGCCCTTGCAAATTGTTGTGCTTCCGCCAGACGGTGGCCGTTGTATTTTTGCTCCATTTGTAGACTGGAAGGATATAGTTTCGTTGCTCAGCTCCTAAGTTGACTACATGGCTTGACACTGTAAGCTGCGGATTTCATTTTAACTGTGATAAACATTTTGTGTGTTTTTCTTTGGCACAGGAGCGGAGCAACTATGGTGTGACCCGTTTGCTATGAAGCTGATACTAAGATTACCAGATTACCGGCAGCAATGATCGGTTATCAACCGGACAAGGATGTCGCCAGCTTACCGGAAGTAGCCAATTGACGAACCTGAGAACATCATGTGCAAAACATGTCACCACAAAATGTCTCCGTTAACTCAACACTGCTGCGTTACGCAAAATGTCTGCGTGAACTCAACACTGCTGCGTTACGCAAAATGTTCCTGAACTCAACACTGCTGCGTTACGCAAAATGTCTCCGTGAACTCAACACTGCTGCGTTACGCAAAATGTCTCCGTGAACTCAACACTGCTGCGTTACGCAAAATGTCTCCGTGAACTCAACACTGCTGCGTTACGCAAAATGTCTCCGTGAACTCAACACTGCTGCGTTACGCAAAATGTCTCCGTGAACTCAACACTGCTGCGTTACGCAAAATGTCTCCGTGAACTCAACACTGCTGCGTTACGCAAAATGTCTCCGTGAACTCAACACTGCTGCGTTACGCAAAATGTCTCCGTAAACTCAACACTGCTGCGTTATCTCCCTATCATCTCAATGTCTAATCTGTATCAATGTACATAACTTTCAACTTTCAACGTTTTCTCCGCAAACACAAATCACTTTCACCTTCACATTAAATAGGTATTTATTTATACACATATTATATTTTCGATAAACAAGTTGCTTATTGTTTAGCTTATGGAATAATAATGTGTTCTTACAGAATATAGCAAACTTGACAGTGAAACAGACACTAGAAGTCAGAAAGTAGTTGCACTTATATGCCACTTGTGACCATCATCAAGACATCTGAACATGACTATGAGTGCAAGGAAACAGACTGTAAACATCCGAATATGACTATGAGTGCAAGGAAACAGACTGTAAACATCCGAATATGGCTATGAGTGCAAGGAAACAGACTGTAACCATCCGAATATGACTATGAGTGCAAGGAAACAGACTGCAAACATCTGAATATGACTATGAGTGCAAGGAAACAGACTGTAAACATCCGAATATGACTATGAGTGCAAGGAAACAGACTGTAAACATCTGAATATGGCTATGAGTGCAAGGAAACAGACTGTAACCATCCGAATATGACTATGAGTGCAAGGAAACAGACTGCAAACATCCGAATATGACTATGAGTGCAAGGAAACAGACTGTAAACATCCGAATATGACTATGAGTACAAGGAAACAGACTGTAAACATCCGAATATGACTATGAGTGCAAGGAAACAGAATGTAAACATCCAAATATGACCATGAGTGCAAGGAAACAGACTGTAAACATCCGAACATAATTATGATTGCAAGGAAACAGACCGTAAACACCCGAACATGACTATGAGTGCAAGAAAACAGACTGTAAACATCCAAACATGACTATGAGTGCCAAGAAACAGACTGTAAACATCCAAACATGACTATAAGTGCCAAGAAACAGACTGTAAACATCCGAACATGACTATGAGTGCCAAGAAACAGACTGTAAACATCCAAACATGACTATAAGTGCCAAGAAACAGACTGTAAACATCCGAACATGACTATGAGTGCCAAGAAACAGACTGTAAACATCCAAACATGACTATGAGTGCAAGGAAACAGACTGTAAACATCCAATCATGACTATGAGTGCAAGGAAACAGACTGTAAACATCCAAACATGACTATGAGTGCAAGGAAACAGACTGTAAACATCCTAACATGACTATGAGTGCAAGGAAACAGACTGTAAAGAGCATATACATTCCAACAATGAGCTACCACTGCCAGAAACAAACTTTATCTGCGCACGAAAAGGAAATCGACATTATTACTGAACCACCAAGCAAACAAGAAATCTTTAAAGCTATCCACTCTTTAAAGAGCAACAAAGCACCAGGCAAAGATGAACTGCCAGCAGAACTTCTCAAAGTAGATCCCAACACAACTGCTAGCATTCTAGAACCATTGTTCAAGGATATTTTGGAAAAAGAAGTGTTGCCTGATGACTGGACCGAAGGAACAATAGTCAAAATCCCCAAAAAAGGAGACTTAACAGACTGCAATAATTGGAGGGGAATTACTCTACTCTCAGTACCAAGCAAAATATTTTGTAAAATCATCATAATGCGGCTTGAAAAAGGAGTAGATAAATGCCTACGAGTGGATAAAGCAGGATTCAGAAAGGGCAGAGGAACAACTGAGCACATCTTCGCCATACGTAACATTTTAGAACAATGCAACGAATGGCAGAGAAGTATACATATATTAATTTTGTGGACTATGAGAAAGCTTTTGACAGCGTCCATAGAGACGGTCTGTAGAAAATTTTACGACATTGTGGAATTCCAGAAAAATAGTCAACATAATTGCTCTCTTCTATAAAGACTCTTCCTGCAGTATAAAAAATTACAATACATCTTTCCCATTAAAGACGGGTGTAAGGCAGGGGTGTGTTATGTCATCTCTCCTCTTCAACCTTGTGATTGATTGGATACTAAAGAACACAGTAGACAGGACATTAAGAGGCATACGATGGACTCCATTCACCATGCTTGAATACCTTGATTTTGCAGATGATATAGCACTCCTATCACATAAACATGAACATATACAAGAGAAAAGTAACAGACTAAACTGCACAGCAGAAATGGTGGGACTGAGAATAAATACAAAGAAAACTAAGATCATGACAAACAGTCCAAACCAACAACCAGTGACCATAATTAACCAATCACTTGAAAATGTAGAACATTTCACATATCTTGGCAGTGTGGTGTCCCTACTGGTAGGGCCAGAGGAAGACAAACAGTCACGTCTGAACAAAGCTAGAGCTGCTTTTGGAAGGATGAGGCAAATCTGGAAATCCAGCAGTTACTGCAGAGGAACGAAACTCCGACTCTACAAGAGCATCATTTTTGCCAGTTCTTCTTTATGGAGCGGAATGCTGGAGAATGACCAAAATGGATGCACACAAGCTGTCCACATTCCACCACACATGTCTACGTAGAATTATCAAAATTTTCTGACCAGATACAATCTCAAACACTAAACTACTTCACGCCACAAACCAAGAAACTTTAGACAGTATGATTACCAAGAGAAGATGGAAATGGCATGGCCACGTTATGAGAATGACTTCTGATATACCTGCCAAAACAGCTCTCACACGGACACCAGAGGGAAAGAGAAAACAGGGGCGCCCAAAAACAACATGGAGACGAACGATTGAAAGTGACCTGAGTGCGGCATCTTTGACATGGAAAACTGCACTGAAGATTGCACAGGACAGGAAAGCATGGAAAGTCCTCTCTGAAGCCTCATGTGCCCACTATGCATAACGAGAACTGATGAAAACGAAATCACCACCTGCAAGATGAGACCCCCAGGAAAAGCAGCCAACTCAAGTATTTGAGTGATAGAATGAACAAGGATACTATCACACGGATTGTTGGAATGACACCTTGTACTGTATTCATCGAGAAACAGCAGATCAGCTGGTTTTGGCATCTCATTAGAATACATGTTTTAAAGATTTTTTTTTTCTAAAGTTTGCTGTTGTGTTTGATGCTGGATCCACCCATACTTCAATGTTTATCTACACCTGGGACCCTACCAAGTTTCACGGCACTGCAGTTGCTGTTCAGTTTGGGGACAAGTGTATGGCTGACGGTAAGTGAGCTAGAATGTATATGAGATCATAATTTGATCCATGACCGAACCATTGTTCAGACGCGGTGGTTCAGTCATGTGTCACATGAAGGTCAGAATCCTACCCTGAGTGTGAAATTTATTTATGTTGCAACTATGGAAAGGTTAGACGCTGATCACAAAAATTGCTATGTTATATTATGCTATGTTATGTAATCATAACTGATGTCACTGCAGTCCGCCTATACAGCAACCAAAGTTGTGGTTTAGGTCATGTCACCTCACAACAACAACGAAACTTGTGGTTTAGGTCATGTCACCTCCCAACAGCAACCAAAGTTGTGGTTTATTTCATGTCACCTCCCAACAACAACCAAAGTTGCGGTTTATTTCATTGCACCTCATAACAGAAGTCACAGTTGCGGTTTAGTTAATGTCACCTCACAGCAACAATAAATGTGGTTTCCATCCACAGACAGAGTGCCAAATCAAGCCCTTAGACTCTTCACTGGATCCATGAAAACTGTACCAATCCTGGAGATGCAGAAAATAACTGCAATGCAGACACTGTCCTATAGAAGAGACACTAAAACTATGATCCAAATGGAGAAGTTCAATAGTATGCAGTCACATCCAATGAATGCAAGATTAGATAATCTGGCATTGGGGCGTTTCAAACGTAGCAGCTTTGTCCATCGGGGGAAAAGACTTAGAAGACAGTATCAAGCAGATCTACCTATTAGAACAACACCGCTGAAACCTACCCTATACCCTCTACCTTGGGAGTAAGTCAGTGATACAATACAGATAATGACTTAAGTCAATGGATTCACAACTGGAGATGAGTCCTATGATCTTCAAAAACGAACAGCTGCTCTTAGCATGATTCATGAAAACTATTCCGAACAGTCGTGGATACATGTTTACACAGATAGATCAGCAACCAGTGCGTTGAAGAAAGGGGGTGTTGGCGTCTTTATTACATACCCAGGCAACCACCGCCACACAAAGTGTAAACCCACTGGTAAATTCTTTTCCAACTACACAGCAGAGATCGTAGCACTAGAGCAGGCTGCCGAAATGTTACACAACACCAGTTCTGACTGCCACCAAGTGGTCCTCTTCACAGATGTGCTACTGGTGCTCCAAGCCCTCAAGAGGGGCAAACTCCCTCACTTGAGATCTAAACTTAGCAAGGTGGCTGTCCAAAAGTGTATTGTACTCCAGTGGGTGCCATCCCACTGTGGTCTACCCGGAAATTAAACCGCAGATAAACTTGCCAAGAAAGGGGCAGAATGCGACCAGGAAGAGAATGCAGTAACATACTATGAGAAGAAAAAAGCCATCCAGGCAATTAGAAGTGAGCAGAATCTGGCCAGAGATGACTACCACTTACTTGACCGGCATGGACAGGTCATTGTCCTGCGTCTCAGGACAGGACATAACAAACTTAACCAGCATATGCACAGGCTTTGTCTAAGTAGTTCACCTTTTTGCCCTTGTGGACTATGTGTGCAGACTACAGAACATGTCCTGCAAGACTGTCCCTTGTTCAGCCCATTAGGAAGAGAATACTGGCCCAGTGAGTTACCACTGCGCACAAAGTTGTATGGGACGAAAAAGGAACTCATTAAAACAGTCAAATTATCACAAGAACCTGTCTGTCGGTGTAAATCTGAAAGCAAACACAAGAAGAAGAAGAAGAATGTGGTTTAGTTTATGTCACCTCACAACAACACCTATTGTTGCGGTTTAGTTTATGTCACGTCACACAGCTGTCACATACGTGGGTTAGTTCTTCTCATCTCACAACAGCTGGGGTTTAGGTAATGTCAACTCACAACAACAGTCACATGTAGGCTTAGTTTGTGTCATCTCACAAAAACAGTCATGTATATTGTTAAGTTCGTGTCACCTCACAACAGCTGGGGTTTAATTAGTGTCACCTCACCTCACAACAACAGTCACATGTGTGGTTTAGTTTGTGTCACCTCACAACAACAGTCATGTATGCAGTTAAGTTCGTGTCACCTCACAACAGCTGGGGTTTAGTTAATGTCACCTCACAACAACAATCATATATGTAAAGTTTGTGTCACCTCACAACAGCTGCTGTTTAGTTAATGTCACCTCACAACAGCTGGGGTTTAGTTAATGTCAGCTCACAACAACAATCATATATGTAAAGTTTGTGTCACCTCACAACAGCTGGGGCTTAGTTAATGTCACCTCACAACAGTCAAGTATGTAGTTAAGTTCATGTCACCTCACAACAGCTGGGTTTTAAATAATGTCAGCTCAACGCAAGAACTTCCAAAGACAGGTTTGTTTTTCATTCTCGACAGGTCATGGATTAGCTGCCTTTGAGAATGATCCAAAGAGTGCAGGAGACTCTCTTCAGCATTGCCTAGATACAGCACAAGCTGCGATACCCGACTGCCAACATTCGCGTACACCAGTCTACCTGGGAGCAACTGCAGGCATGAGGCTACTGAGGCAAGTCACTGACTTAATTCTGTCTGTCAGGTTGATTCTCTCTTTGTTACCTGTTTGCTGGAGTTCATTCTCTCTTTTTGGTGTGCATTTGTTTGATTCATCCTTTTTGTTTTTGACACAATAAATGGTTTATCGGAATATTTCAACAGACTTAAGTACGGAATGCAGAAGAAAAAACAAAAGTAAATGCAACTGAAAATGAGGTTAAGGCTGATCAGTAGAATCTTTGTCGGCCACAGACAGTGTTGAACGACAGTGTCTCACCTTGAACGACAGTTGTGTGAGCTTGAACGACAGTTGTCTCACCTTGAACGACAGTTGTGTGAGCTTGAATTATAGTTGTCTCAGCTTGAACGACAGTTGTGTGAGCTTGAACGACAGTTGTGTGAGCTTGAACGACAGTTGTCTCACCTTGAACGACAGTTGTGTGAGCTTGAATGATAGTTGTCTCAGCTTGAACGACAGTTGTGTGAGCATAAACAACAGTTGTGTGAGCTTGAACTACATTTGTGTGAGTTTGAACTACAGTTGTGTGAGTTTGACCGACAGTTATCTGAGCTTGGACGGCAGTTGTCTAAGAATAAACGACTCTTGTTTGAAGCAATAAAAGAATTTAAATATCAAGGAAGTATATTCACAGAGGACAGCACAATAAAAAGAGAAATATCAGCTACTATACTGTACAAACGTATACTGTACGTGACATTGTCAGCTACTATATTGTATAAAAGACTATCAGCTACTATATTGTATCAAAGACTATCAGCAACAATATCGGATATACCATTTTCAAATGCTAAATTGAATATAACACTACTAGCTTCTATAATGTATATAAAACTATCGGCTACTATACTGTATATAAAACTATCAGCTACAATATTGAACATTATATTATAAGCTACTATAATATATAAAACGCTGTCAGCTATATCATACTATCAGACACTATACTGTATATAATACTGTTATATTTTTTATTGTGTTTAACACTATCGGCTACTATACCGTATATAACACTATCGGCTACTGTACTGTCTATAATACTATCGGCTACTATACTGTATAGTGTATATAATACTATCGGCTACTATACCGTATATAACACTATCGGCTACTATACTGTATATAGTACTATCGGCTACTATATATACTGTATATAATACTATCAGCTACTATACTGTTTATAATACTTTCGGCTACTATACTGTATATAAATAAACAGAGGGGGGAACCATTTGAGGCCGTTAAATATTATGAATTAATCAAGTAACAGAAAGTATTGTGAACGGCACTCATAGAAAGAAGTAGAAAGATAGAAGAACACACTAGACAACATAAAAATCGAAAGCTATAGTTACCGTGTCGGGAATTGAACCTGTCACCTCCAGACGGCGTCTGCGCCTCGCCATGAATACAAGTGCAATAAGATACATGGTCAACTAGGCACCCCAATAAAAAGGTGTCTCATTGGCCATGTCTATCGTACAGCTTGAAATCCACGACTATGGAATACGGACAGAATTCATTTCAACCCATTGAAATGGCACCATAGGTTACAGAAATTTATATTAACGAAGCAAATGTCGAATAACAATCACAGCAACAATTTACGAACACAGTAAGACCTTATTGCTTTGTCTAGAATACACAAACATTTAAGAAAGGTATTTGATTGGTAGGTTCCGGTGTGTGTACGTCATTCAGACAAAGCAATAAGGTCTTACTGTGTTCGTAAATTGTTGCTGTGATTGTTATTCGACATTTGCTTCGTTAATATAAATTTCTGTAACCTATGGTGCCATTTCAATGGGTTGAAATGAATTCTGTCCGTATTCCATAGTCGTGGATTTCAAGCTGTACGATAGACATGGCCAATGAGACACCTTTTTATGGGGGTGCCTAGTTGACCATGTATCTTAATGCACTTGTATTCATGGCGAGGCGCAGACGCCGTCTGGAGGTGACAGGTTCAATTCCCGGCACGGTAACTATAGCTTTCGATTTTTATGTTGTCTAGTGTGTTCTTCTATCTTTCTACTTCTTTCTATGAGTGCCGTTCACAATACTTTCTGTTACTTGATTAATTCATTATACTGTATATAGTACTATCGGCTACTATACTGTATATAATACTATCGGCTACTATACTGTATATAATACTATCGGCTACTATACTGTATATAATACTATCGGCTACTATACTGTATATAATACTATCGGCTACTATACTGTATATAATACTATCGACTACTATACTGTATATAATACTATCGGCTACTATACTGTATATAATACTATCGGCTACTATACTGTATATAATACTATCGGCTACTATACTGTATATAATACTATCGGCTACTATACTGTATATAATACTATCGGCTACTATACTGTATATAATACTATCGACTACTATACTGTATATAATACTATCGGCTACTATACTGTATATAATACTATCGACTACTATACTGTATATAATACTATCGGCTTCTAAACCGTATGTAATACTATCGGCTACTATACCGTATAAAATACTATAGACTACTATACTATATATAATACTATCGGCTACTATACTGTATATAATACTATCGGCTACTATATGTGCAGTGACACTCCTTGGCTCTCAGCACGTGCAGTCTTCCCAACTACAAATGAAAATATAATTGAACAGGTTGAACAACAAAGGAAACGAAGCTCATCTTTGTCAATGTTATTTATTCAAGCAGCTGTTTTCTGGGCCAGTGTATGTTGATGAAAAACAACCAAGCTTACACACTTGACACAGCATCAATAGACATAATCAAACAACGTTATTTTCACAGAATAAGTTGAGTTGAGTCAAAAATTGACATCACAGCACTTGGGGAATTCCAATGCATGCTCCGTCCTCATCTTCAGCAGCCAGCGCAGAGTTCCAATGCTGATGGTACCAGTTACAATCAGGTTAAAAGTGTCTTGCTTTTCCGCTGAGTGTAGTCAGCCGGCCAGACCCTCTGGTTACATACATACATACATACATACATACATACATACATACATACATACATACATACATACATACATACATACATACATACATACATACATACATACATACATACATACATACATACATACATACATACATACATACATACATACATACATACATCCGCTGAGTGTAGTCAGCCGGCCAGACCCTCTGGTTACATACACACAGACAGACAGACAGACAGACAGCCGGCCAGACCCTCTGGTTACATACATACATCCGCTGAGTGTAGTCAGCCGGCCAGACCCTCTGGTTACATACATACATACATACATACATACATCCGCTGAGTGTAGTCCGCCGGCCAGACCCTCTGGTTACATACATACATACATACATCCGCTGAGTGTAGTCAGCCGGCCAGACCCTCTGGTTACATACATACATACATACAGACATACATACATACATACATCCGCTGAGTGTAGTCAGCCGGCCAGACCCTCTGGTTACATACACACAGACAGACAGACAGACAGACAGACAGACAGACAGAAAGACAGCCGGCCAGACCCTCTGGTTACATACATACATACATACATACATACATACATACATACATACATACATACATACATACATACATACATACATACATACATACATCCGCTGAGTGTAGTCAGCCGGCCAGACCCTCTGGTTACATACATACATACATACATACATACATACATACAGACATACATACATACATACATCCGCTGAGTGTAGTCAGCCGGCCAGACCCTCTGGTTACATACATACATCCGCTGAGTGTAGTCAGCCGGCCAGACCCTCTGGTTACATACATACATACATCCGCTGAGTGTAGTCAGCCGGCCAGACCCTCTGGTTACATACATACATCCGCTGAGTGTAGTCAGCCGGCCAGACCCTCTGGTTACATACATACATCCGCTGAGTGTAGTCAGCCGGCCAGACCCTCTGGTTACATACATACATACATCCGCTGAGTGTAGTCAGCCGGCCAGACCCTCTGGTTACATACATACATACATCCGCTGAGTGTAGTCAGCCGGCCAGACCCTCTGGTTACATACATACATACATACATCCGCTGAGTGTAGTCAGCCGGCCAGACCCTCTGGTTACATACATACATACATACATACATCCGCTGAGTGTAGTCAGCCGGCCAGACCCTCTGGTTACATACATACATACATACATACATACATACATACATACATCCGCTGAGTGTAGTCAGCCGGCCAGACCCTCTGGTTACATACACACAGACAGACAGACAGACAGACAGACAGACAGACAGAAAGACAGCCGGCCAGACCCTCTGGTTACATACATACATACATACATACATACATACATACATACATACATACATACATACATACATACATACATACATACATACATACATACATACATACATCCGCTGAGTGTAGTCAGCCGGCCAGACCCTCTGGTTACATACATACATACATACATACATACATACATACAGACATACATACATACATACATCCGCTGAGTGTAGTCAGCCGGCCAGACCCTCTGGTTACATACATACATCCGCTGAGTGTAGTCAGCCGGCCAGACCCTCTGGTTACATACATACATACATCCGCTGAGTGTAGTCAGCCGGCCAGACCCTCTGGTTACATACATACATCCGCTGAGTGTAGTCAGCCGGCCAGACCCTCTGGTTACATACATACATCCGCTGAGTGTAGTCAGCCGGCCAGACCCTCTGGTTACATACATACATACATCCGCTGAGTGTAGTCAGCCGGCCAGACCCTCTGGTTACATACATACATACATCCGCTGAGTGTAGTCAGCCGGCCAGACCCTCTGGTTACATACATACATACATACATCCGCTGAGTGTAGTCAGCCGGCCAGACCCTCTGGTTACATACATACATACATACATACATCCGCTGAGTGTAGTCAGCCGGCCAGACCCTCTGGTTACATACATACATACATACATACA